AATTATTAGTTGTTATCCTTGTGTTTTCATTTTATTTCCGCAATATTTGGCATACCTAGTCGTAGAGACTAGGTGCCGTCACGACAGTTCACGGAGGGAGAACTTGGGTGTGACATATATCAGTTCCATCATTAACCAATAAAGACATAACTTATTGAGATCTCTTTATCTCATTATTTTCAAGTACCTGAGCCTCTCCCATGAGATCTTATGGCGTGTTATGTCGTGGTACTCTTCTATAGCACTTGCCTCCTTATTATTACCATCTTGATCATTTGCTCTTCTCCTTCTTCAAGGAGTTTTAGTGGTGGAGAACGTGATGACCCGATAGGTCATCTTGTGAATTAAAAACTAAATTCTGTATTTCGAGGTCTTAAAAACCACAATTTATCCCTCCTCGAATTGCGTGCGCAATCCGGGCGTATTTCCGGTAAGCTTTTATGTTGAAAGTTGATAAAAATAAGGATTTTTTCTTAAAAACTTTATTTGAGTTGACTTCGATTAACATTTTTGGTAAACAGACCCGAATTCGTGTTTCGACAGTCCCGGTGGGTCCGTATCGAAATATGGGACCTGGGCGGATGCTCGGAATCGGAATCGGAGGTCCCTAGCTCGAGTTATGAATTTTTGTTAAAAATTGAAATCTGAAAAATTATTAGTTTTTTTTAAGAAAAGTATTGATGTTTGATCTTGTTGGTATCGGGTCCGTATTTTGGTTCCGGAGCACGGTACAGGTTCAATATAATATTTAAGACATGTCTGTGAAATTTGGTGAGAAACGGAGTTGGTTTGACGTGATTCGGACGTCCAGTTGAGAAAATAGGAATTTCAAAGTGTTCTTGAGAATTTCATTTGATTTGGTGCTAAATTCGTGGTTTTTAGTGTTATTTTGGTGATTTGATCGCACGAGCAAGTTTGTATGATGTTTTAAGACTTGTGTGCATGTTTGGTTTGTATCCCCGAGGGCTCGGGTGAGTTTCGGATAGGCTACGGAGTATTTTGAACTTAGGAATCATAGCTGGTGTGCTTCAGGTCTGCAGACTTCGCATTTGCGAGGTCTGGATCGCAAATGCCAGCCTCGCAATTGCGAAAAAATTATCGCATTTGCGAGCAGTGGATGGGGAGGGGAAGCTTCGAAATTGCGAAGCACTAATCGCATTTGCATTCCTGGCAGTTCGCATTTGCGGACCATGGGTCGCATTTGCGATGTTAGGAGGCTCAGGTAAATCTTCGCATTTGCGAAGAGAAGTTCACATTTACGGGGTTCGCATTTTCGAACTGCAGATCGCAAATGCGATACCTGCAACTGGTCAAAATGATTTTGGACGAGATTTTTCTCGCATTCTTCAAATTTTCAAAACTAAGTGTCTCTATACACCAAAGTAAGAAAAATACGGAAAAGTAAAAGACATAGGAGGGAATAGAGGGAGACTCCGAGGTCTGGGAACGCGGGCAGATATACCTTGAAGTCTCCAAAATCTCGCTGCTCACTGATAAGAAGTACCTGGATCTACACACAAAGCATGTGCAGAAGAGTACCATGAGTACACCACAACGGTACCCAGTAAGTGCCAAGCCTAACCTCGGTCTAGTAGTGATGAGGTCAGGTTAGATCCCTACTAGTATATAATAAATAAGGCAGAAGAATATAGCAATGTAATAAGAGACTGGAAATTTAACAAAGAGAAAACCACAGAAAACAGTAGCACAGTACGTAGAGATAAACAGCATGGGGATCTCCTGAGATACCGCCTCGTAGTCCCAAAAGTAAATGTACAGGGGGATCTCCCGAGGTACCGCCTCGTAGTCTCAAAAGTAAATGTCTAGGGGGATCTTCCGAGGTAATGCCTCGTAGTCCCAAAAGTAAACACACAACTCGAAACTGATGAATACAACAATTAACAGCAAGAATTCTACAGTTAAGACTGCTATAGATTAAAGAAAAACAGGAAATCAACTAAGCATGCTGCAAAGAGTTCAAATAAGCATTTAAGACACGTAGACATGCGATATTAGGCTAAACAGGATGACTACACATGCTGGTATAACTCAATTAAGATAAAACATGTGACTACTCAGTAAAAACCGGATTTTTCAACAATTAGCCCGTGTACGCACTCGTCACCTCGCGTATACGATGCTCACATATCACAGAAGTATCACAACAGTACCAAATCTTAAGGGGATTTTCCCCACACAAGGTTAGGCAAGCCACTTACCTCGAAACAAGCACATTCAATCAGTAAGAATGCCTTTTCCTCGATTTTCCGACTCCGAATGGTTCAAATCTAGCCAAAAGCAATTACATACTATAAATATAACTATAAGGAACTAATCTAATTAATGAAATCAAGACTTTAACCAGAAATTAGAAAATCGCCCCAAGAAGTCGACCCGGGTCCACGTCTCGAAATCGGGTAAAAGTCATAAAATACGAACACCCATTCAACCGCGAGTTCACTCGTACCAAAATTACTCATATCCGGTGTCAAAATCTCAATCAAAACCCAAAAATTTTGTTGAAGAACTTTTCCCTTTTTTCTAGATCTCTCAACTCAAATCCAAAATTAAAGGATGGAATCAACTATAGATTAATGAAGTATAACCATAAATGAGTCAACAATCATTACCGAATAGCTTCTTCTGAAAATCCTCCAAAATTTCGTTCAAATCCGAGCTCTCTATCTCAAGTTTTGATAAAAATGGCTAAACCCTCGTTTTTGAAATATTTATAACTGCCCAGTGATCCCTTCTTCGAGAACGCGGAAGAACTCTCGCGTTCGCGAAGCACAAACTTGCTTCAGTCCAAAATTCTTCATCGGGAACGCGATGGCCTCTAACACCTTAAATCGGTGCCCGTCGCTCCAAAACTAGTACATAAATGTACAAATCCATGAATATATACTCTAATACTCATAATAAATCAATTTATAACAATTTCCAACTCCGCTCAAAAAGTCGATAAAGTCACATTTGGCCCACATGCCCGGATTCCGAAAGTTTTCGAAGAGAATCATTACCATAACACCACGAACTCAAATATATGATTTATTCCCAATTCCATGTCCAATTTCATGGTCAAAATCCAAAAATACCAATTTCTAGGTTTTTCTTTCAAATCCAAAATTTCTACTAATTCTCATGTTTAAATCCATATATATCATGTATTTAACTTGAAATATGTGGGAATCACTTACCTTTTGATTGATGCTGAAAATGGTGCTCCAAAATCGCTCCAAGCTCGGCTCCTATGGATGAAATAAAATGAAAATGGCCAAATCACCGTTTTAAAACTTCACTGCCCAGGTTTGTCCTTTTTCGCGAACGCGGCACTGCCCTCGCATTCGCGAAGCTTAGCAAACTCAGGACCAAAGTTTCTTCTTCGCGAACGCAGCAAGCCCCTCGCGTTCGCCAAGCACAACCCGCTTCAGCTCCCCATCTACTCTACGTGAACGCGAGACAGGGCTTGCGAATGCGAAGCACCATTGCCCAACGTTTCGCGAACACGACCCTCATGTCGCGAACGCAAAGAACAAAAGGCCCCCAGTCCAAATTCCTTCTTTGCGAACTCGTCTCACCCTCCGCATTCGCTGAAGGACAAAACCAACACCAGCAAACCAGCAACAACCAATCATCCAAACTTGGTCCGAAACCATCCTGAAACGCACCCGAGGCCCCCAGGACCCCGTCCAATCACACCAACCAGTTCTAAAACATAACGCGGACCTACTCGAGGCCTTAAATCATACCAAATAATATCAAAACTATGAATTGCGTATCGATTCAAGCCTAATGAACTATTTCACTTCTAGGTTCCATACCCGATACCGAAACCTATCAAATCACGTCTGATTGACCTCAAATTTTGCACACGAGTCACATTTGTCATTACGGACCTATTCCAACTTCCGAAATCAGATTCTGACCCCGATATTAAAAAGTCCACTCCCGGTCAAACTTTTCAAAAACCTTGACATTTCCAACTTTCGCCGAATGACCCCGAAATGACCTACGAACCTCCAAATCCACATTCAGACGCGCTCCTAAGACTAGAATCACCACACGGAGCTATTCCCAGTCTCGGAATTCCAAAAGAACATCGATAAACATTAAAATACACTTCAACCCAAACTTATGAAATTATTCCAAAATGCCAACTTTCCACCATAAGCGCTGAAACGCTCACGGGTCATCCAAAACCCGATCTGGACATACGCCCAAGTCCAAAATCATGATACGAACCCGTTAGAACTTTCAAATCCCGATTCCAGGGTCATTTACTCAAAAGTCAAACCTTGGTCAACTCTTCCAACTTAAAGCTTCTGAATGAGAATTTTCCATCCGAATCAACTCTGAACTTCCCGAAATTCAATTCCGACCACATGTACAGGTCATAATACCTGAAGTGAAGCTACTCAAGGCTTCAAACCACATAATGATGTGCTAGAGCTCAAAACGACAGGTCGGGTCGTTATATAAATATTATAAATTTACTGTTATCTTTATGATTGCTATTTTAATGCAATGCATGTTAACGATATATTTAAGTTATCTTTTCTTAGTGGTGGAACCAGAAATTCATATAAGAGGATTGACAAACACCCCAAAAAAATTTATTTAGGATTTGAAGTTGTGAGCTAGGATAACTTTCGAATCTCTATACCACTTTAATATCATGTTCTTATGTAAATGGGATTCAAAATTTTATATATAACTAAAATTTTGGTTTTGTGCATTCTAATTTTCTGGCAAGGGGATTCAATTGATTCCTCTTACCACCTTTGCCCGTTAACTTTCTCTCTTGTTCTCTATTGTAAGATATAGATTTTTGGATTTTGATTACCATTAATAAACTAATTTCTAAATTTATATTATAAAATTCATTTATAATAAGGTATAACAAAAGTTAAATTAAAGTTAAACCCATAAAAATATCATAGAATAAAAAAGTATTATATAAAGGGATTTGAAAATTTAAGGGCAAAAAGGCATTGTGTAGGATAAAGATGGAAAAATGACTACTGTTCAAAATTGAAGGGGAAATTTGATTTTTAAAAGAAAGTTTTGGTGGCGTAAATGAATTTTACCCTATTTTTACCCGAATTCACTCGCAAAAGGGAACTTTATTATTCCCTCCACTTCAGTTCGATCGATAGCCCGATAATTAGGATTTACGTTCTCTGATTTGTCAGCAATGGATACCGACGTTGAAATGACTCCCGCCGGTGAAGGATCCACCGGTATGGCGCCGTCATTAGCGTCTTCTTCTACGAAGAAACCCAAGCGTTTTGAGATAAAGAAATGGAACGCGGTCGCGTTATGGGCTTGGGGTTCGCTTTTTTTTCTAACTCACTGCATCCCTTCTTTCTTTCTTTTATTTTTTACTTTTTTTGTTGGAATTGTTTGTAGTTGCTATTCCCGATCAACCGGTATAAAATTAGTGTTTAGCTGACGTGATTGGTGAAATTGCTGATGCAGATATTGTTGTAGACAACTGTGCTATTTGCAGGAACCATATTATGGACCTCTGTGAGTATTTTGAAGATTTTCTTTAGCTTCTCTTTTACCTAAAAAAGGAAAAAGATGGATACTTTATCCTCTATTTATTTGTTCCATTGTGTGAAAATTGCTATCAGGCATCGAATGTCAAGCTAATCAAGCTAGTGCCACTAGCGAGGAGTGCACTGTTGCTTGGGGTACGCTGTTCTCAATCTCTTCTTTTAAATATATTTCTTAGAAATAATTGCTAAAATGACACTTGGTGATAACAAGCTGAAATCATCTCACTTAAAAGCTGTTTTTTCATTCTGCAAGTTCTTATAATTGTGGACTTGTAAGATGTAGTTGATTGCTTTCTTGCTAATGGAATTGTGTGTTTTCTCACTTTAGTATTCACTTCATCTATTTTTCCCTTGCTTAAAATATCTCTTGCAGTTAATATTTGATGTTTCCACTATGTGTTTTAGCAGTTTCCTGGTTAACTGAATCAATTATTGATGAGTTTATATATGAATGAGGTTTAATGTTCCGCATTCCAATTCCATACCAGACAGGGGCGTGTATATGTTTCCTTTGTGCCTTGAGACAATATACATCTATTCCATATTAGTAATCATTGGCAAGGGATGAACATATGCCATGGTGAAAGATGCTTATAGCTTATGTTTTATGAATTTGGTGTCCTGATGTATCTGGTTTGTGCGTGTGTCGAAAAGCACATGACTAGATGAGTGTATTTTAGTGGCATATAACAAACTTGATATCATTGCATTAGGCATATTGTTTCAACCATCACATTTACTGTGATAGAGGCTAGAGTAATGTCTCCATAGTCCTAAAAGCCTTTGGCCAAGTCTTTCAATTGTTACTCCCTTTTTTCCTTGTCTGTGGCTCCTTTCTTTTACCCCTCCCTAAATCCTGACAAGGCATCTATTGATGAGAATTACTGTAACTCTCTTCCTATCTTCTACCATTTCTTAAGCAAACATTACTCTTCCCCTCCCTTTATAGATGAAAGCTTCAAACATCAATGAAAAACCAAAATAATTTTCGCAAGATGAAAGCTCTATGCTCAAACTCATGCACCAAAATCCAACTTGAATGAAAGCACCATATGCACTAAATCAAACCTCTAACCTCAATATTATGCTAATATAATTAATAAAAGTATCCAGAAAAGTGGAAAGCTTTTTTTTTCTTTGGGTGGTGTATGTTGGTATGGAGTTGTTTTTCCGAAGACAGGCTGGAGAGGGGAGAACTGTATATTGGAGGTTGGATGGACTGTGCCGGGTTGAGGGTGGCTTTTGTCCCAATTTCGGGTAGGTTCCAATTAGCTTTTTGCTCTACCATGCTTCTTTTCATTCAGCATTTCTCTCTTTTCTTTTCTCCTTCATCTTTTTGGGGTTATAAGCCAATAACCTTTGTTCCCATATTATCTTTTTACATTGAACTCACTATGGAGACTCATGAGCAGCAAAAGGACTAGCTCCAATTTGGATGCATAAACTGCATGGAGAAGAAAACACAATAGATGAAACTAGCACTAAATGTACTTTTGGAATAAGAACAATTGGGTTATTTTGCATATTCAGAGCATGCATTCATGATTTGCTTTCCTAGACTTGCGTTGTTTTCACAATTGCATGGAAAAATATAAAGAACATATCGTTCGTTCTTGTTAGTTCTTTTTCCAGGTGTGAAGCATCATGACTGCCTAATGCGCGGGATAAATCTTGGGGGTTTGAGGGGGGGGTGGGGGTCATGCTTGGCTTTTTATGTATCTGCATTTATTTATAGCTTATTCTCACAAAATTTTTTCTTCACTTTGAATTTTCTCTTCAATATGTAGTTGCAAATTCAGCATTTAGGTCTGTTTACTTTCGGGGATTTTGTTCCATGAAAGTAAACATTTTGTACAAGAGATGACTAGTATTTGGCCTGTTGCTTGCAAGGATTGTGAGAGGTTCTCCAACAAGAATGCTACTAGTTGTTGAGTCAATACTTGAAACTGAAGGAGCAACTGGTTCTATTTCTTGCTCAAGTGCTTCGTCTTTTTTATTGTCCTGTTTCTCTAAATAGATTCCATGTTTATAGTAGAGCATACTTCAAGCAAAACCACAACGTTGGAACCATTTCTTAAATAGAACAATGTGTGTTTTGTATATTATCCTGTTGTCTTTTGAAATAAAAGGACATGTTAGAGCATTGCTGAAGCATTCACAAGACATCGAAACATGTGAATCGTCTATGATGTACAGCACTGTGATATAGATTAAGTGAATAAGCTCCCTTTCCTCATTTTGATCAAGTATGTGAAGTTCATCTTGGTTTAACTTTCATGATTATTATTACATTCCCCTCTTCAAATCATGTTTATTGGTTCTACAAACTCTCTTGGTTTTACTTGTGTGTGCACGTGCCTCCTCAAACCATGTTTATTGGTTTGATAAACTTTGCCCTGGTTGGCTTGGTATGTGAGTCCTTAACATGAAGTAATTCTAGCATGTCAATCTTTTATACTAAGTTAGATGTAAATCTAGTTTACTGCATCTTTTCATCTGCTTCTCTCCCATTTATGTACCTACGTTAACTCTCTATGCATTTTGTTTTCGTTTTTCCTTTGACCTTCCTGATGTTTTATTGAGGGGTAAGGGGGTCTTTAGGTATATTTCCTTAACTACTACTCCCTCTGTTTCAAATTAGATGGGTACTTTCTGAATTTGGAAATAATTCAACTTTAAACTTTCATTTTACCTATTTTACCCTTAATGAGAAGCTTTTATAACCACACAAATGTCATGACTCCACAAAGCTTTTACCCCTTAAACTTTTAAGACCATAAGTTTCAAAAGTCTTTTTTTTTTTTCTTCTTAAACTCCGTGCCGAGTCAAATTAACTTATCTAAATGGAAACGGAGGGAGTAGTATTTGTTCTTTCTACTGGTCAATGTTTCTTTCTTAATTATATTGCTGTCTTGATCGAGATTCTCGCAGGTGTATGTAACCATGCCTTCCATTTCCACTGCATCAGTCGATGGCTCAAAACCCGTCAAGTGTGCCCATTAGGTATTATCATCGGGTTTTTCTTTTCTAGTAGGGTTGTGAACTTTGTAATGGTTGGAATTATTTTTATTACTCTGCAGATAACAGTGAGTGGGAGTTTCAGAAGTATGGTCACTAGAGGATTCATTAAATTGCAGCAAGGGGAGATCATGCTATTGCATCTAATATTACATGACTCTTAACGTAGTGCGACCTGGAAACTCTTATTTCAAGTGCTTTTTGTTTGTGACGCTACAAATGAGCCTGATTTATATTGGAATAGGATTTATTGGAATTGGTATTCAATTGCACGTATCATGCGATTTTTAAACTGTTCCGCAATTACAGTGAAACAACTGGGTATGCTTCATTCATATGTACATCAATCTGAACAACATCCAAAACAGAGAAAAAAAGGTAAATAAAGTTAAATTAAAGGCAACATCAAGTTGGACAAATTCGATGGTCCTCTAAGGACATTTCCTCTTTCAATTTGTCATCATCCCAGTTTATTGGTCCATGCAATAAAGAACAATCATCGGCTACATTGTCAAGCTGATCCAACAACAAACATCCATTACTCACATGGATGCACCAGAATAATGACGCCAACGCACCGCAATTGGGCTTCTCACATTGTGAATTCCATCACTCCATTCAATCGACCCAAATGCAGATTCAATCCCCTTCACCATCTCCAGATCACCACTGCTTTTACTCTTTAAGCTAATCTCATACGACAAACTTTGCTTTTCCTCACTGAAAACAAGCTTCGTCGGCGATACACTCACCTCCACAGACGGCGGCGCGTTCACCTTCACTTCATAAACAGCATCTGTACTTTCCCCTACATTTTTCACCACCCGCTTGTATTTTACCACACCGTTACTCTCACCGGTAAAAATAACGGAGAACGACGGGTAATTCAGGTCTCCCGGAGTAGCCAAATTCCGTTCACTGCAATTTACTCGAGGAGAATCTCTCACGAACACGGCGACATCGTCGCCGTCATAACCAATGGAGCATAGGAAATTCACGTAATCACTAGTTTCGATATCGTAAATCAAACCCGGATCCAATGCTCGGTTCGGGTCTACATGACCTGATCCATGAACGAAAGGAGTAGATTCTTGGCCAGTGGCAAGATCTGTAAATACTTTACCAGAATTATCTAAATTGTAAGCTGTTGTCATAAGTGCTGACTTTACCGCTGCTGGGGTCCACTTTGGGTGGGCCCTTCTAAGTAAAGCAGCCAATCCACTAACGTGAGGGCACGACATGGAAGTCCCAGAAATAATATTAAATTCCACTCTTCTCGTGTCAATATCCAAATCCGTCGGTCCAACAGATCCGGTCCAACCGGCCAAAATGTTAACTCCAGGTGCAATAACATCCGGTTTAAGTATCTCCGGCGTCAAATGATTAGGTCCTCGGCTCGAGAACGCCGCTACACGTGGCGCCGCCGGTGATTTTCCTATCACGGTTCCTCTGAACACGATCGTCGCCGTCGGAGATGGATCAGACTTGACGTAGTGTCTTATTTTGTCTCCTGCTTTTTGACCTACCATCGTCGCCGGGAGAAGATGTGAATCGGCGACGAGTTCTTCGCCGGAGTCAGCCAAATTAGCGAGTATCATCCCTACTCCGCCTGCCTGCTTCACTGCACTCCCTTTTTCAACCCTAGCGTTGCCTCCCCTATCGCACAGAACTATTTTTCCGGCAACTTTTTCCGGGTCTAGCTTTCCTGGATAACAGTATTTGCTACCACAGTCGCCGGAATAAACCACCGGCAATTTGGTATCGGCCAAAGGATTGCCGGAGTACAATGAAACACCACCAAATATTCTATTATCTCCTAAAATAACATCTGCAGGGAACTCACGATCTATAGTTGAAGCACCAACGGTGAGAATCCAGGGTGCGATGTTCACTGCCGTATAAGCGCCGGGACCAGAATTTCCAGCTGAACATGAGACAAGGACGCCATGTTCGGATGCACCAAAAGCTCCAATTGCAATAGAATCATAGAGATAATGTGGAGCATAACCGTTAGCCCCAACAGAAAGTGATATCACATGCACACCATCGTCAACAGCTTGATCCATGGCAGCCAATATATCAGAATTAAAACAACCATTTTTCCAGCAAATCTTGTATGCAGCTATTCTTGCTTTTATAGCCATACCTCTAGCTTCACCTTTGGCATATTGGTAAAAGCTAGCATTTGCCACTACAGAACCAGCTGCAGTTGATGCTGTGTGTGTTCCATGTCCTTCAGTATCTCTTGGCGATTTTGATTCTTTTGATTCATCCATTGGGCCATGTTTAGCTTCATACCCTTTGTAAAACATTTGAGCACCTATGATTTTTTTATTACATGAGGTTTCAGGAAAATCTGGTCCAGTAACGCATTTCCCTTTCCAACTTGAAGGAACTGGAGAGAGACCCTCGTCCGAAAAACTCGGCCTTTCCGGCCAGATACCCGTGTCCAGAACCCCAACGACAACGTCATCAGCGTATTCGGAATTGGGCCAGAGGCCGAAGGAGTCAGCAAGTCCCAAGAAGGTAGGGGTATGGGTGGTGTGGAGGTGGCGTACTTCATCGGGAAGGACGGAGATTACACCGGGAATACGACTGAGCTGATCGGCCTGTGCGGCAGTGAGGCGGGCGGAGAATCCTACGGCGGCGCGTTCGTAGGTGTAGAGGATTTTAGAAGGGTGTTGAGAAACGGATCGGATGATGGAGGAGTACCAATGGTGGTGGGTGGTGAAAACACGGGGCTTATCGGATTTGGAAACGTGAATGATAAAAGTTTCATATTCATCGGATTGGACGGAAATGGTAACTGGAGTGAGGCAGAAAGAGACAAGGAAAAAGAAAGAAAGAACGGAAATTGACGCCATTGTAGACCGTCTGCCGGAGGAAACCGCGTTCTGGTTCATATAGGAAAATGGAGAAAGGAGACAATTGGATGGGCCTTATTGGGCCACGTTGAAGATACTGATTGATTCACTTTCCATCCATTTGGGATACCCAGCCAGATATTTTTATACTAATGGATAAATGATGGGTTACAGTAATAAGAAACAAAAAATGGGTTGGGTTGATAATTGCTTAATTGGAATAAGCTGAGACCTCCAACATCATTGTTTACGAGTAATTTCCTTCTTACAAGTTGCTTTTGTCTCCACTCTCCACAAATAATACACGCAACCCACCATACCCATGCAGAGTGTTGAATGCAATTGTGATAAGCAAAGCATGATTGTGGTATGTTTTAACTTGAATTTGAGTATCTCCCCATGTTAAAAGCCTATTAGAGGAAGAGGAAGAGTCAGGATTTGAAGTTGAGTTCTGAACGTATTATCGAACTCATCATATGTCTTAGTTATTGAGCTCACAATTAAATAGTTATATATATTTAATAAATTTTTTAATACAAATACAAGATTTAAACAAAAGTTACTGAGTTCGTCTGAAACCGCAAATAATACTCTACCTCCGCCCATGCGTAGCAGGGAAGATTTAATTGGTAAAAATTGCCATTAGAGTTAAAATTAGCAACTGCAGCTCGAATCATAACTTTTGATCTTGTAAGACGAAAGCTGTAACTTTACAATTGTTGATTAAGTTTCAGGAATGGAACGGATACGTGATTGAAGAGAAGGGAGAAATTCAAAAATAGCCTAATTTACAATTGACAGTTGAAAATTAGCTATATTTTTAAAAATTAAAATTTAGATACTTTTTCATGCGAATAGATTTGGACAAAAATATAAGTTAAAACACTGAAGAAGAATCCATAGAACATTTGTTCTTCAGATGCAAGTTCTTTGCAGAATTATGGACCAAACTGCTCAACTGGCAAGGCATCAACAGATTACCTACGGGATGGAGTCAAGAAGTTAACTGGGACAATCAATCATGCTAAAGGAAAAAAATGCCAAAGTTGGTATATTTAGGATGGCTGATGGCTGGTTGTATCTATTATTTGCACCAAGAGAGGAACCTAAAGACTTTTTTGGGCAAACAAAGAAGTGTTGTAGGCCTCGGTAAATTGATAGGTAGAGGACAATGGAATAGTAGGATAGCTGGAAGAAGTGTTGTAGGCCTCGGTAAATTGATAGGTAGAGGACAATGGAATAGTAGGATAGCTGGTATAAAAAGGGCGCGGGGGGGGAAGGGGGGGGGGAGGTGAATGAGATAGGTGTGCTAAAGTTGGGCTGTCTAACTTTAGCGGTTTTGATTTGTTTGTACATATTTTTCTCCTTGGTAAATAAAATTTGACTAATTACCAAAAAAAAAAAAAAAAAAATCGAAAAAATCCAGCGTAATATGTTGGAGTTCAACTTTTTACATGTGGAATTCCAACATAATATGTTGGAGTTCAAAATATGCTGGAATTTGAACTTTTCTAAGTTAAACTCCACCATAATATGCTGGAGTTCGCATACAAGATGTCTTTGAAGTTTGAACTCCAGCACAATGTGCTAGAGTTTTGTACGTAGGAGCTTTATAATCCAACATATTATGCTGGATTTTTTCGGTATTTTAGCTAAGGGTATTTTTGTCTTGTATCTCTGCATTAAATAGTAGGTATTTTCAATAACCATGCAAACGTTGATTATTTTTCAATTATCAATCCTTTGGCGTAATTAGTAAAGTTGTTGCCATGTGACCAGGAGATCACGGGTTCGAGCTGTGAAAATAGCCTCTTGCAGAAATGTAGGGTAAGGCTGCGTACAATAGACCCTTATGGTCCGGCCCTTCCCCGAACCCCGCGCAGAGCAGGAATTTAATGCATCGGGCTACATTTTTTTAATTTGAATACTGTCTAGCCCATACTATTTTGACAAAGACATTGGATGAAATTTGATCCTACATCATTTAGCTACAACGTAAAATCGCACTAATTATAACGCAAATATGAACTATCAAAATCATAGAAGTTGTGTTCCTCTACTTCAATTAACTTCTAGAAACATACTTGTTCTGTGTACATATGAGGAGCTAAAAAAGTGATTTATTTTTGGACATTAAATAGGCTAATCATCATATATCATATATATATACTATATTATAAGTGTGAAGCTTCAAGTTGAAATTAAATTATCAAAATATCCATCAAAAGCTGAAAGACAATTTTACCCTTCACTAAATACTACTGTTATAATATTTTGATACGAAATAAGTAATCTTACATTTACTTGAGAGTTGAAAATGTTTCTCTTAATGTACAATGTATATGTAAATGAAAACGTTTGGTAAATGAAAAGTTTAATTAAAGACTTGAGCCCGTTTGGACATAAGAATTTTTTTTACTTTTTTCGAAAAGAATTCATTGTTTTTCGAAATCAGTGTTTGGCCATAAAATTTCCAATTTTCACTTGAAGATGAATTTTAAAATTTTTCGAAAATTTGAAAAACTTCAAAAAAACTGTTTTCCAAAATTTTCACTTAAATCACTCACAAAACTTCAAAAACAACCGAAAATTATATTCATGTCCAAAAACAACCCTAGGATAGTCTTTGCTATGGATTTTCCTTTTAAATACCGTTTGAATATAAGAAAGTAAATTAATTAACCATAGTGAGTTAATATAGTTTGGTGTAAACACCCGGTGCGAGTAAGCTTTTACCATATTGGGACCAAATCAAAGTTTTGTGATGCTTAAAATTCTATAGGCAATTAAATACACGTAATTGAAGTCGATACCATTGGTTCTCCAACTTACTTTTAAGAAACATTCACAGAGTTAATATAAATATAACTTCTTCCCATTTTGCAGAATGTATGTGACTAATTTAATTTGATTGTTCATTTTGCAGATACGGAGTACTTCACATTCATCCCTCTCGAGTTCTTTTTTTTTTATTTCTCCTTTTTAACTCGCTGTTATCGTCACTAATGTTTGACTCAAAAGATGTTAACTCTTTTTAAGCAAATCAATCAAAAAGATGAAGGAGTAAATCGTAGTTGAAAATAATAAACCCTAGGATAGTTTTTAGGAAGATGGACTTGCCACAGTAGAAGAGATAGATCAGTAGAAAGATAAAGAGTAGAGAGAAAAAGAGAGGGAATTTGTCTTTCTTATCCCTCAAAAAAGATCCCATTATTACAAGACCTGGATCCCCCTTATATAATGGAGGATCCTTTACACATTATATGAACGACAAAAGGAAAAGTATATTTTATAACGGAACTGACGACGACACGAGGAGGTCTCTCCTTTCCTTCCTGGGTCGCCTCTTCCCCCTATACCGACACGTTGATACCTAATGGTTGGTCGTGCTACCTTTGAGACGTGATCGACCAAATTCGAACCCATACAGTTAGTCCCTCCGTTTGTCGAGGTCGCAGTGAGGTCCTCGATGGGCGGAATTAGTGCCTCTTTTAAAGAGAATTTGGCTTGCCGAAACGTTATGCCGTGGCCAGTAGAGGAGATCATAATCACATTCGACGGAACGTTGAAAAGAACGCTCCTCCCTGGATGACGTCAGCGTTTGTATGCGTCATCATTATACGTATTTTCAAGGCAGAAAAGCTGACGGTTTGGCACTTGGTTTCCCGCGCTGATTTGAAACCTGCCGCCTCGATTCTGGCGCCACCCAACCCTATAAATGGGTGAAGGGTTCAATCTCGCTGAAGAACTTTAGCCACTCTCGAGAATTCTTCGATCTTCTTCTCCCATTTTCGCATATCCTCATTTTCTCGCTTTCATTTTCGATCGGAAGCCTTCTTTTCTCATTCTCCATTGGTGTGACTCGCTACCTCTATACAAAATCATGCCGAAATCTCATCGCCCTACTGATGAGGTTCCTGAGATTGCTCCGGTGAGTGCAGTGCCTTTCTCTGATAGCGGAGAAGTGGATGTGGAGGATGACGACAGTCCTCTTACAGTGGAGGCATTATTACCACGACATCCCTCATCTCGGAGTGACTTCAGTAAGAACCCACTTCCTACTCCGAGCCCCGTACTTTTCGAGACAGACCAAACTCATCTCGACGCTCTTTGTATAAAATATGATATCCCTGCCCACGTGGAGATGGTTCTGGCGGGTGGGGACTACGCTAACGTTCACAGACCCGGGTACTGCGCTTTCTATGAGTACCCATTTATGATCGGTTATACCTTGCCACTTTTTCCTTTGGCGGATGAGTTCTGCAGATTCTATCATATCTGCCCGGCTCAGCTCACGCCATACACACTCAAAGTGCTCTTTTTGTTGACTAAATATGCGGAACTAGCCGGGAGTGACGTCAGCGTGCACCACCTCTTGCATTTATTCTCGCCTGGTTTTCTTAGGGGCACCATAGTGCACCTAAGGCTTCGTGGCACGAAGGGGTTGGTGGTCGGAACAGACGACCGGCCGAGCCGTAAGTATTAGCACAAATACTTCTTTATCAAGACTGAGCACATGGTTTCTAACCCCGCCGGGTTCCCAGAAAAGTGGAACGACAATCGTAAGTATCGTAGTTCATCGTATTCTCCATCTTCCGCAAATGTTGCTTCTGACCGTTTGTTTTGCAGCTATGGCTCGCCCACCCTAGCCTGTTATCGACCTCAGGAATTGGGTTGCCGGCCTGTTGCCGCATGCGGAGGAGACGCGAACTTGGGCCGCCTTCATTCACCGCTACGGCCCTAAGGCTTCCTCAGGTAAACCTTTGATTTATTGCATCGCCGGTTATGTGGCTCTATCTCACTTGTATGTTTTTTGTTGATGACAGGTCGGGGAGCTTCTAGGAGAAAGGCTCCAGTCCCTGCTTTTAGGCGACCTGCTGCTGTCATAGGAGCTTAGGACGTCTTGTATACGTCTGTCCGAGAGGGCCGTCCTCTACCTCTTCGGCGGGAAACTCCATCCGCATCTGCGACGGCAAGAAACACACCCTCGTTGGCGCCAACCTCTCATCCTATCGACGAATTCTCTGATGGTGACGAAACATTAGAGAGGAAAAGGAGAAGGTTGGAGTTAAGAAAGGGGGTGGCTACTGATGCTGACGGGAGTGGGGAATCTCGGACGACGTCAATGCCTGTGTTCATGGCTGATGCTATTTTGTCGGGGAGGTCAGCCCACGAGAGGAGGGCTGCCCCTGGAGCTAGCTCGGTGCGCTCCGTTGAGGGGGGTGCGTCGACTAACGTTGGAGGGCCTAGTGTGAAAGCTGACGGGTCGGGTTCCGACGTCGCACCGGAGGATGTAAATGAATTTTTGGGTTGCCACACCTACGTGAAAACGATGACGGATGGGTATGACCGTCGCATAGTAATCTCGGGGGATTACAATTTGCTGCTAAATAGTGAGCAGGTCGCTTCGAACCTTACCCTTTTATGCGCCACTACTGAGAG